GGCTCCTGTGAACATACTGAAGACTGCAGTGACCCAGGAGTTTCTCTTGATCTACCTTTTCTGAATTACTTGAAAAGGCTAATGTGCTTGGTCAGAATTTTATAGTATGGGATATTAATAATTTCCCACTTTTATCTAGGAAAGAAGTGAAGGGGAAATATGAAAGCAGTATGGATAAAATCTGTGCTTTGAATTGATATTTGCATTGGATGATTGTTTCTTATTTGGATCAGCTAAATTTTTGTGTGATGAATATTTATTCTAAAACAACCACTTTTAGAACTGAAAGGGGGAAATCTATGCCCAGAAGTTTATTTTTATGTTCTAAAGTTTGAGGGGTTTTAAGAATTGACTTTTATGTAAAGAATGCTATTTATTATTATAAAGATGTAGAAGTTTTTTTCTGCCAATTTCAAGTGTTTCCTTTTTGGTTATTTTGAACTACATACCAAAATTAGAAGTTAGAATCCAAATAGATATTAATAAAATCAGAAATTAAAATTCATGACAGGTATTCCTTATTTAGGCATATGTATACATATTCTCTCCCATTCTCAATTGTCAGTTTTCTTTGACTTTATCTTACGTTTTTCTAAAAAAATTTTTTTAGTTGTAGATGGACACAGTACATTTATTTTATTTATTTTTATGTGGTGCTGAGGATGGAACCCAGTGACTCACACATGCCAGTCGAACACTCTACCACTGAGCCACAACCCCAACCCCATTTTACTAGTTTTAAATGAATTGAAGTTTATTTGGGGTCATTTACTAAGTACTGTCCCATGTATAATTTTAGTTGTCATTAGGTAGACACATGAGGAAACAGGTCGTTTTAGAGATGACGATGGACGCTTAAAGCATAAGAAGTATGCACACTTAGAAGAATGAGTCAAATAATTTGAGTTTTTAACTTAGTGTCTCAGATCTTTTCCTTTTCTTCTAAAGATCATCGTTTATAATACATTTTACGGGTAAAGAGCATTTTTTGTTTTCTGAGCCTGAAGAGGACCAAAGGAGTTAAATTAATTTTAATGGACCTTAAGCTTGTTATATTTGATAAAATTTCAGAATTGGGGTCTGTGCTTCCAGGAATTGGGGAATTAATGTTTGTGACAAGAGGCCAGTGATTCTGATGCAGCAGTAGGGTTCTGCACATGAAGAAACACACAGAAGGGGAAGAGGGAAGGCGGAACCAGGAAAGTAACACTGCTTGTCTACTATTTCAAGGGCTTCCCGACAACTTACTTAATTCTAATCATGATCCAATAGTGTAGGTGGTATTAGCTCCATTTTATAGATGAAGAACTTGAAATTAGATTTGAATTAAGGTATATGGGAGACCAGCATCTTACAATTTTTTAAAGAAGTTTTATTTTTATTTTTTTGGTACTGGGGATTGCCCTCAAGGGTGCTTAACCACTGAGCCACATCCCCAGGCTCCCCTCCACCAACTTTTAAAATTTTATTTAGAGACAGCATCTCATCAAGTTGCCCAGGGCCTCACTAAGTTGCTGAGGCTGGCTTTGAACTCCAGATCCTCCTGGCTCAGCCTCTTAAGCTCCTTGGGGTGGGGGGATTACTGGTACTATGCCTGGCAGAAGTTTTCTTTTTTGATAACTTTTGGCATTTTCTCTAGAAGAACTGCTGGAGCAGGCTGAGGAGTCACTTTTTCAGGGCAATTTCATGGAGAAAGCAAACACTGTGTCTCCAAGGGTTTGAAGTGAGGCTGCTGCAACTGACTTTCTTGTGACCTTGTCCAGTTTTTAATTACTTTTTAATTTGGTTATATATTTTATTTACTTACATATTTTAATTACTTTTTAATTTGGTTAAAGATTTGATGACACAGTTTCTTGAGGTAGTTTCAGTCACTTTCATTCCTCTTTTGTCTTTCTGCACTGTGTGTCAACTTTGATAGAGATTGAAATATTACATAAACCTTTCTTAAAACAATTAGACACAGGTCATGTGTCTCTAATCTGAAAATGTGAAACCCAAAATTCTCCACAAACCAAAACTTTTTGAGCACCCGACATGATACCACAAGTGAAAAATTATATACTTGACCTCATATGATAGTCAAAAAAGATGTACCAAAAAAGTTACATAAAATTACCTTTAGGGCAACATGTGTAAACTGTATGTGAAACAAAGTTCATGTTTATACTTGGATCATGTCACTGGGCTATCTCATATAAATATGCAGATGATCCAAAATTCAAAATATTTCAAAATCTGAAACACTTCTGGTCCAAAGCATTTTTTTAATATTTATTTTTTTTAGTTGTCATTGGACACAATATTTTATTTTATTTATTTATTTTTATGTGGTGCTGAGGATTGAACCCAGGGCCTCGCACGTGCTAGGTGAGCCACAATCCCAGCCCCTGGTCCCAAGCATTTTGAATGAGGAAAATTTAACCTGTACAATGCTCTGCTGAAAATTTTATTTAAGGATAGCATCACATAGTTCTATGTATTAGCATTTCAGCCAAAAAGTGGTTTTAAATATTTATATTTCTCATAAAAATTAAGGCCATCATAGAGTACAAAATCTAGAAGAAAAAATCTGGATTAAAAAATATATAATTCTATCACATGAATGCAATGAACATCAGCATTTTTATATATTTTCTTCTAGGATTTTAAACCACATACAGTGGGCCTTTCATATCTGTAGATTCAACAAACTTCAGATAAAAATATTTGGGAAAAATTGCATCTGTACTGAACACATACAGACTTTCCTGGTTCTTACTCTCTATACAACATAGAACAACACTTATTTGCATAGCATTTACATTGTATTAGATATTACAAGTAATCTAGAGATGATTTATTAGATTAGATGGGAGGATGAACATAAATTACATAATACCATCTTAAGGACTTGAGCAGCCTCAGATTTTGGTATTTGCAAGGGTTCTAGAACCAAAATACAGAGAGACAACTGTAGCTAATAGAGAATATGTAATTTGGATATGTTTTTTAATTTAAAATATAAATATTTTCTGTTAAATAGCCTTAAAAATTATAAAGATCTGCCCAATAGTTATATTAATGATGTTAATATTACCTAAGTTGGCCGTTATGGTTGAATGTTTTGGCTTATAATGAAATATTAAATCAATGTTTTATATATAATTTCATTGGATTAAAATATGGACTTTTATTTTGGAGTCACAGTATTAATATAACTTAGTGAATTCTCATATTCCAGAACTAAAATGATTGATTTAATGGTATTGTGAAAGAGAGAACTCTAATAAAGCTCTTCTATGCAAATTATATTTTACAGAAGTTACCTATTAAAAGTAACCTTTAGCAGATAGCAAACAGACCTTTGGTGTTCCAGTATGATCCATTTCTAAATGGATCTAAACTTCTAAATCTAAACTTCTTTCTTCTTTTTTACCTTTATTTTATTTGTTTTCTTGTGGTGCTGAGGATGGAACCCAGTGTCTCACTCATGCTGGGCAAGTGCTCTACCACTGAGCTGCAATCCCAGCCCCCAGGATGATACATTTTTATCATTCCATAATTCTATTAAATACCACTTGACTGACATTTCCTGGCTGCAGGTCTTAGGTTTCAGACTGATAAATCAGGGTTCATGACAAGAACAATATGGTAAATCTTTACATAGTCATGTGTTACATGTCAGAAGTGAGTCTGTTTCTGGATCTGTTAAAGGAAATGGTGATCACTGAGTAGTACAGGGAAATATACTCCCAAGGGAGCAACGGAAATAAGACTCCCCAACCCAGCAAAAAAGCTGATTAGCATTATATTAGTGGGTTCTGGGTAAATTCAGCTTTTAAATGTTAGCTAGTCACTAACACCAGAAATTCTTTTTTAAATGTATTCATTTTCTTGAGTGAAGCGTTATTCTCCCCTGTTTATTCAATAGTGCAGTCTCAGTGCACTCAATGTCTGGCACTGCTGTGTGCAATAAAGAAATAAGATTTGGAAGTTTTTCTCTTCCAAAGTGAGAATGCAGTGTCTTGAGGCTTAGGGGCACCTGGCAGTCTGAGGAGAATGGGAGGTTATGGAGGTCAGCAGGTTGTTGAGAGCAGAAGTTTAATAGGACACAGACTGGAAGAATGCAAATGCACTGCCCCAACTTCAGGTTGAAAGTGCACTTTATTTTGTAAAAGTGTAAAACACATTAAATATACAATTTCCTCTTTAATATCTTGCATTAAGTGAGAGGAGGTTAGGTAGGCCTCTGGAGTTTAAGGGACCTGCAGGTAGCTATAGATAGGCCCATTTCTACTGCAGAACCAGACATGGGCATCTCCTGGATTATAACACGACCTGGAGAAGACAACTCTTAAAAAAAGAGAGAGAGAAAGAAAAAGGAAACACTAGAGTTCACAGTAGCAAGTGTCCCTAAAGGAAAAGCGACCATGAAACTAAATGTGATTGGAGAAATCCTTTCAATGTGCTCCGTCGGCTCATTCTTTGTTTAAATCCACCCCACCCCCATCGCCAGTGAAAATAATCGTGTTCCAGGACCATCGCTTTATTCATGCTGCAGAGTCCAAGTCCTTTAATTCGTCAATGAAAGCAAATGACGGGGCTACTGCTTTCTGATGGTGGTGTTTAAAAAGCTGGGAGGTGGAAGGCAAGTTCCCCCCCAATACCCATTGCAACCCACACTGAGGCCGTACAGAAAGAGGCGGCGCTAATGAGAAGCCAGCCCCAATCCCTGCTGGAGATTCATCCGGGACCTTCAAGAAACGCATCTTCAGAAAAAAGTTTTGTTGCTAGACGTGGCCTCTGATCCCCTCGCGTGATTCCAGGCCGGGTCTTGGAGCCCGCCCTCGAGGGGAATGTCCCGGACTCGTGTCGGTACCTTTTCGGTCTGGGAATTTCCAATGTGCGGAAAAAAATCCACAGACCTAGTCCCGGCTGCCCCCTCCCGCCTCCCCGGGCCCTCTGTGCCCACGCGGAGGATGGAACCCGAGGAGGACCGGGTTCAGAAAGCTCGCGCTTCGTTCCCCGCCCCCACCGCCCGCTCCTGTGGGGAGCAGAAGGCGAACCCTATAAAGGGGGCCGGGGACTCGGCAGCCTCCTGCTGCCACGAGGTCAGAAGACGAGCTGGTAGAGGAAAGGCGGCCTCTGCTCCTTATCATGTAACCTCAAAAAGGAAACTGATCATCTTTTCTCATGCTCTCACGTACTTCGTTTATTATCGCTGATTACAGAGCTGGAAACATTTGATTCGCTTTTACGTATTTGTATGACTTGACTCTTCAAACACAAAGGTATATTTTTATTATTTGATATTTAGTGTGAAGAAGTGTCTTAAAATCCTAAGTCCCCGCCCCTTTCTTTTTCCCATATTTTTTTCCTTGGGAATCACTTTCTGATGTTTGAGTAATATTTGCTTTGGGGCAAAATATTGGGGGTGGGTGGGTGGGGCAGGTTTTTTTTGGGGGGGGGAAGATCTGGGGTGATTTTATAGTTTGTTAATAGCATGAATGGTGTCTGTTTATCTTCAAGGCTTAGGAGGGACTAAGATGCTGATGGTGGAAGTGGATAGGACAAGAGGCGAAGGCAGCCTAAATCTCATGTAAAGGGTTTAGCTTTAGTGACGTAGACCTGTGATGCCACAAGTCAGAGGTATGGCTTTAGAGGTATGCTTTTCCAAAAAGGGCAGGCATGTCACTGTTTTTATGGAAAAATATATCTAAGTATATCGGAATATTTGGTAGCTTGCCCTCAAAAATTTTTATATTACCTCTATAAAATTAAAATTTATGAATGACCGTTTTTGAATGAGGGAAATGTGAAATTTGATGACTTGGCTGGATCGTCAGTTTCATAACAATCTGTATCAGTATTTTAAGGTGTTTTGTCCAAATAAAAGCATGTTTCTATGTAGGATCAATTAAGATTCTCTTCACAGGGATAGGAAACTGGCTGTAGTAGGTGAGGGTGTTGTCCCCAAAAGGCTGACGTTTAGTATGTAAATTTTAGTACATGGTTATATATCTCTCTATATATACTCTCAATTTGAAACTGGCATCTGAAGAAATACATTATCTGGCTGAGTGGAATTTTTTTTTGCTTCTCTTAGTCAGACAGTAGGTTGTTTCACAATAAAAGGAGAGTAAAATTTCCAAGGCCCATTCACCACTCTCAGTATTCCTTGATAGAGGAGGGAGTCCACCAACAGGATCATCTAAATATACAGGTAATCCTGAAGTCTGTTTATTAGCTTCAGAATATAAGGTGTGATCCAGCAGCGGCTCCACAGTCTCTTCAGCATCATTTTGCTCTGGCTAAGGATACAGTTGGGCAGGTGCAGGTGCAGGGGTGGAAGAGTCCATCTGGGAGGAGTTAGCATATGAAGCCAGTGCACAGCACTGGCTTGTTAAACCCTTGGCTTCCTTTCTAGTGTGGAGGTGAAGACCACCATCAGCCCAACTGAGTTGTTCAGATACTGACTTTTCTTCAGTAAGGGAAGGGATGCAAACTCTTGTCCTTATACTTTGTCTTGAAATAGGTCCTCCTTTCCAGAAATCAAAAGACACTCTCCAAGAAGCTGCAGACTCCTGAGAACATTACTAAGGGGAAGGCTTTCTGATTTTTCTAAGATCAACCATGAATTACTCCTGGGGGAAAAAAAAAATTTCCTTTTGGCTCTTAACCTGATGCTGATTTGGTGGCCTCTTGATTTTTTTCCCTTCAGGTTAATAGGAAGATCACGAGGACCCAGGCTGAACTTCACCTTTTGACTTCCGTGGCCTGATGCTGAACTCCCAAGGGTGAGAAAGGCAGATTTTTCTATCCAAGGAGGATCTAAGTATCACTCAAGTCTTGGCTGCTAAAGTCAAAATGAGGAGTGGGATGTTTTCTAAAGGTTCTAAGATTCTTGTCTTTTTAACCAATTTTTGAAGTTGTTTCAAGACTATTATGAATTTTACTTATAGGCATGTGACTATGATTTCTTGTGAACTAAAGATTTTTGGTGGTTTAGCAGTTTTTCAATAACTTTTGTTGAATTTCCATTATTTTTCATGGGGGAGCATATGAACACATCTAAGAGGGAAATTCAGCTCTCTGCTGACCAACGGTTTCAGGGTTAGGTAATTTTTAACAGGCTCCGAAAGCATCATATCCTCAGAGTTTTGGTGAAGAGGCTCACTAAAGCTAGCATATGTGGTTTCTGATCAAAGTACTTCCTGTTCCTTTAACTTGGAGCTTTCTGTGAGGAAAAACAGTTTCCTTTCAAGCTTAGTGGTTAAAAATATCTTACTGGAGGAGTTAGTGGACTGGGAATTAAAAAGTGTTTGTAAACACTTGTTTTAGGAGTCGACTAATAAGAGTGCCTTGAGCTTTCATAATAACATTTGAGGTGAGTACAATTAGTCTTATTTTATAAATGAGGAAACTGAGGCTCAGGAGGATTGAGCAATTGGCTCAGGGCCCTTCAGGTAGTAAGTAGCAGAGTCCTGGTTTGGCTATCAAGCAAAAGTACAATAGGGAGAGGTCCATTATTCCCAGGGTCCTGAATTATCTAACCCCCCTCCCCAAATCACACACTTGGCCACCACCTCCTCCCTGTTCGTACTCTACTAATAAAGTTTGAGTTGATAACTGCCATAACCCTCTGTATTTTAAGAAGACCACAGAAAATGCTTTAGTACTATATGGGTGGCTGGACTAATATTTTGGAGAAAGGCAGCCTTTTACTCATTAAGCCATTTTTAGAAATTGTAGGATTGTAAAGAAAGGGGTATTGTGCTACACATTTTTCTTGCTTTTGGCAGGACCTTTCCTTCCATGCTGGAAAGTGAAATGTTGGAGCATTCTGAGTCACAGCTCAGGTGAAGGGTCCATGACAGCTGCTTCTAAGGAGTAAAGCTTTGAGCATCTAGCAAACCTATTCACCTGTTCCAAATCATCCCTGCCAGAGCAGGGATCAGTTAATAAACTACCTGAATTAAAATCTTCCAGAGGTAGCTCCCAGGTTAGTAATTTGCATTTGTTAGGTCCCTGGTGATTTCTAAGAAGTCTCCTGTGATCCCTTTCTGGTTTACATTTTCTATATTCTCTATAGGAAATAAATTCATTTGAGAGGAGTAGTAAGTGAACCTCTTGAATGATTAAAATGCGTTGAATTAAGGAAGAGTATATATATAAAACAGGAGTGGAGTTGAACCCTGGGGTGTTCTACCACTGAGCTACATCCCCAGCCCTTTTTATATTTTGTTTTGAGACAGGGTCTAACTAAGTTGACCAGGCTGGCTTCACACTTGTGATCTTTCTCCCCCACCCTCTCAAGTAGTTGGGATTACAGGTATGTGCTCCTGCACCCAGTTTTATATTTGTCTTTTAAGGCAATATTTCTCAATTAATGTGAGTGGAGTCAGTTAGGGATCTTGTTGAACTACAAACTCTGTTTCAGCAGGTCTGGGGAGGAGCTTGATTCAGCCTTTTAAACAAGCCTAGGTGATGCTGATGTTGCTGGCCCAAGGTCCACACTTTGAATAGCAAAATTATAAAGCTCCATAAATTTCTGTTAATAAGAAAAATTATTCAGTTTTTTCTGCATATATCATTTTACCATGTGTGAAAATAAATCCTGTCATGGATATGTTAACAATGGTGATGCTACATTCTCTATTCATAATGCCAAGTATCTGAATTAAACTTACCAAAATTCTGTTAAACACTTAGATGCTATAACTATACAATGCTAACCTCCAGATATTTGGAGACAGTAGAAATGAATTTCTCTTTTTGGTTAGATGTTTATCAATGTTCAGATACTTTTAATATTGATATGAGACTTTTGGACACATTCTAGCATTGAGTAGTATATGTGCACCCTCAGTCCTCCGATTTTTTTTTTCAGTCATATTTGCTGTTTGTACAGCACCTGTTTTTATAGAATGACTAATACTTTAAATCATGCATTCTCAAAGAGGGCGATGTCGCCCCCAAAAGGACAAGTATTGGTTCTTGGGGGAAGAATCTTAAGATAATTGCAGTGGTTTGTGGGCTTGCAAAGAACCAGGGTACAAAAAATGGATACACAGTATATCTGTGCAGTTAAACTTTTCCTCAAGGGATATTTAGGGGGAAAAATATGTAAAAAGTTTCCTGAGGGAGTCTGATAGTGAAAGAAAGGCTGCTATAAATGCTCTTCATGTACTTATTCATTTAATGTAAAACATTTTTTTAATCTGGTCTATTGTGTTTTAGTGTCTTGCTTTGTGTCTAATCATTGCCATAATTTTTAAAAATACTGGATTCCAGAAGGAGAATAATTTTTTCTTTAAT